TTGGTGGAAAATGATAGTAACAAGTCTATAAGCTTTTGGAATGTATTTGATAGAACTTTAAACGGAATACCAAGGATGACAAATAGCATAGAAGAAATGCATAGGCATTTGAACAGTCTTGTAAAGGTAAAACAAGCATCATTTTTTTTAATATTAAAAGAATTAATAATTGAACAGGAAATAACAGAAAATAAGCTATTACAATCTCTGTATGTGATTCTACTATTAATGTTGAAGATAAAATAAAAGAAATTCTTAATAGATATTCTGAGTATTACGGTGTAGAATTTTTAAAGAAAATTGCATTTAGCTTTCGTTGGAAATTAAACTGATTATATAAAACAAAACTTTTTTAGTAAACTTTTTTTTATTAAAGGTAAAAAATAAATAGGTGAAAAATGCGCCAAGCCTAATATTTGAGCATGATCTTTTAATTTAACATAAATTATAATTTCTGTAAAGATATACATATATACTTCAATATAATAATGATTTAATTATTAATTTAACATAAATTATAATTTCTGTAAAGATATACATTTATACTTTATTATAAATATTATATATTACTAGTTAATATATCATAAATTATAGTTTCTGTAAAGAAATAAAATTATACTTTAGTATAATAATAATTTGTTTTTTGATTAATTCTTAGAGAAGTGTCAGTTCGTCAGATTCTTATAGCATCCTTATTTACAAAGTTTTCAGATTACCTTACATCACAATATTAAATATTTATACCTATTTAATAGTTATAAGTGTATTGTGTTCTAAACACCTTTAACTTAATGTTTAAAATTAATTAGCAATAACTACAAATATAGATTATTTAAGCACACATACATTTTACTTAATAAACATATTATTTTTTTACCCTTCATGAACTTAGACAAACATTTTCTAGATGGAAAAAAATTATCAAATTTAGTCAATAAAAAAATGGATAAAGAAGTAATTAAGAATCTTCAGTTACTCAGTGAAAAGTTTATACTAGATATTATTAATAGATCTTCTATGCTTTGTAGACATAAAGGTAAATCTGTTATTGATACCGCAGAAGTGTCTTTTGTAGTCGAAAAAGATTTTGATTACAGTTTTGGTGTTAGGGAGATTACTAATACAAATCAAGTATCTGCATCTGAGCATATAGAGAAGATGGCGGAGTTGAGTAGGCAGAATAAGTAATACATCTAGTAGAATATATGTTATATTAATCTTTACTTGTTATTTTTACCTATTATATTTATTTTTATTATAATTATTTGTTATATTAATCTTTGATGCTTATTTAGGTTGTTATATTATTTTTAGTTATATCAATTTTTACTTGTTATTTTTATTTTTAGTAATTATTTTTATTTTTACTTGTTATATTAATTTTTTTTATTATATTTATTTTTAGTTAATATTTTATTTTTAATAATTATTTTTATTTTTTTGTGTCACTATTATTAGCATCACCAAGCGGTACGTTTTCCTTATCATTCCAATACTGTAACGGTCTTTTAAAACCATTTTCAGTTAAATTTAATATATCAAATACTCTCAATATAACTATAATGTTATGTTCTAATTTAGAGAAATAAATACTATTTAGCATCTTAGTAAATTTTTTCACTTCTTTTTTACTAGTACATTTCACTGAATTAAAATCTTCATGTACTAATATTATTTTTTTATCAGTTCTTTTTTTACAATTTATATTAATTTTATTAAGTAAATCTTTCCTAAGAATATAACATCTATTATCTGATAGTTGTACAATACTGTTATTTGTATTGCATTTAGATTCATATAAAAATACAATAACACCATTTATAAGTATATAATTATAATCATTTATTATATTATTTATAACTGATTCATCTACCGTATAATAATTTACAACATTCCGCTGTTGTATCATCATAGTACATAAGGTTACCATACACACCAAATTTAATAAAGAAACTATAAGGGAGTATTTATAGATTACATAGTGCCATAAAAAAGTAAATAATAAACATCCTAGTGTTATATAATAGAGACTATTATTAATAATTGAATGATCACACATAATCTCAGTATTAATTAATAGTACTATAAATGATATACTTAATATAACAGTAATATAAAATCCATCTCTAAAAGTATACATATCAAATAGCCCTTCAGTATAAAATTAATTTATACTTTTAATTAAATTTTAAGATTTTGTTTGTTTTTAAATTAAAAAACAACTGAAATTTGTTTAGAATTGATTTTAATATATACTGTAATTTATCAAAAATAACTTTATCAATTATTAATTAATTTATTTTTTGATTATTGATATTTTTATAAATTAAAATACAATTACTTTATAAAATTAATTATAATTTATTTATGACTATTGATATTGGGAGAGCTATTTTTTACCAAATTTGTTCAGTGGTGTTTACTTTATAAAATGAATAATAAATTTATTCATCATAAATAAAAATATATTTAATAAATTTATTTATATAACTGATATTTATCATAAATAAAATATATTCACTTTACCAATTGTTAATAAATTTATAAATTTTATATTTCTTCCTCTTCTTCATCTTCATTTGGAAATATAACAACCTCATTCTCTTGTACTTTAAGATGTGGTAAATATTCATTTTTATTAATAAATACTTTATTACCTATTTGTTGTTTTATTTCTTTAAATATGTATCCTTCATCATTTAATATAATATTATAATATTTTATAACCTTCTTTCTTTTATTGTAATACACTAAATTATTTTTTATTTCTACAATTTCATTAAAGTAGTATTTAATCTTCCGTAGGTCACATGACTCTTCATGTACACAATAGACAGTATCTTTTATTTCTGTAATATCATTAATATCTTTTAGTTCTGTAATATTACTACATTTAAATATCTGTTTAGATATTATTATCCCAGGAATCTCATAACTATCAACCACTAATTTCATGGATATAAAAATTTTTATTTTTTTTTACCCCTTAAAATGGCTAAAAAAAAGAATGGAACCCTTGCTAATAAAAATTATAAAGATCACAGAAATGGTATTAAAAGGGAAAAAATTGGTAAATTATTAGATCTACCAGGAGTGAATACTAAATTTCTTAGAAATATGAGATATGCTAGAGAAGGTCTTAAAAATACTACTGAATAAATTTATTTATTTTACAAGTTTATTTACTCTCCTTTTTTTCCTTTTTTATAAGGAGACTTTTTATATAAATTTTGACATTTATCTTTACTATGCAGGAAGAAAATGCCCCAGTTTTTAAAGAAAAAAATACATCTAAAATAGGAAATCTTATGGGAGAAAGTACAGAGGTAGTTGATGTGGATGATGTAATTAAATACAGTCAACAGGCCAATGCACAGTATAAAAATAATCTTGTACCTTATGTAATATATATGGATGCAGATTTTAATAATATGGTGAGGGCAGAAAAAAAGAAGAATGCAGTTATTTTACTTTTTAAAATATTAGGAGTATTATTAGTGGTTATGGCTATTATATTTCTTATTTCATGGCTTATAAAAAAATAAAATTTTTTAAGTTATATTATATCTTAAAGTGGTTGTATATAAATTTTTAAAAAATTTTGCTGATTTTTGTATTATATCGTAAAATGATTGTAATAATAATATAATAATAATAATTTAATTGTTTATTTATTAATTCTTTTCGGAGAAACTATTACACTTCCTGATTCCACCACCACAAACTTTCAGAACATTTAACATCATTG